CCCTCTGAAAGTTACATCGTGGAAATTACAGTCTCAGAGCCCCATGGCAAAGCCAACAGCAGAGCAAGTGGTTTGGATTGATGAAAAGTGCAGTCTACAGGACTATTAAAAAAAAAAAAAAAAACTATGTTCAGAAGCCAGATTTGTGTAGCCTTCAACAAATTATGTATTTGAGTTAAGGAGAATCTTAACTTCTTCTCCTGTAAAAATCCATAACCTAAATCTAAGCATTGATATCTTACTACATTAAGGGAGAAATAACTTGTTTGATCTTTCCCTCTCTCTCTCTCCCTCTTCAAGATTGTTTTATGTCTCTTAATGAATGAAAATTTTCTATTTTATTATTCCAAAAGTGTATGTTAAGTACCTACTATGGGTGTATCATGACATAAGATGTTAATGGGGATTTTTAAAAGAAATGCAAGATATTTTACCACAAATTCTAGATGGAGAGAAAAGGCATAAACACACAAGAAATTAAATGACCAAATGATTGATGCAGATATTAAGTGTTACATTAGATTTTTTTTCTAATTCTTTACAGGTTGTCTAACAAAGAGAATGGAAGAGGCTGTCCTACTCAATCAAACTTCCTTAGTGACATATTTCTGGCTTAGAGGTTTATCTGTAAATCAGAAGGCACAGATAGTTATGTTTTCCATGTTCCTCATTTTTTATGTCCTGACACTTATTGGGAACATTCTCATTGTCATAACTATTATCTATGACCACCGACTCCATACCCCCATGTATTTCTTCCTCAGCAACCTGTCCTTTATTGATGTCTGCCACTCCACTGTCACTGTCCCCAAGATGCTGAGAGACACCTGGTCAGAGGAAAAGCTCATCTCTTTTGATGCCTGTGTGACCCAGATGTTCTTCTTGCACCTCTTTGCCTGCACAGAGATCTTCCTCCTCACTGTCATGGCCTATGATCGGTATGTGGCCATTTGTAAACCCCTGCAGTACATGATAGTGATGAACTGGAAGGTATGCATGCTGCTGGCTGTGGCCCTCTGGACAGGAGGGACCATCCACTCCATAGCCCTCACCTCCCTCACCATCAAGCTGCCCTACTGTGGTCCTGATGAGATTGACAACTTCTTCTGTGATGTACCTCAGGTGATCAAGCTGGCCTGCACTGACACCCACGTCATTGAGATCCTCATAGTCTCCAACAGTGGACTGATCTCCGTGGTCTGTTTTGTGGTCCTGGTGGTGTCCTACACAGTCATCCTGGTGAGTCTGAGGCAGCAGATCTCCAAGGGCAGGCGGAAGGCCCTGTCCACCTGTGCAGCCCATCTCACTGTAGTTACACTGTTCCTGGGACACTGCATCTTCATCTATTCCCGCCCATCCACCAGCCTCCCAGAGGACAAGGTGGTATCTGTGTTTTTCACTGCAGTCACCCCCTTGCTGAACCCCATTATCTATACCCTTAGGAATGAAGAAATGAAGAGGGCCTTCAACAAGTTAGTGGGGAGAAAGGAGAGGAGAGAAGAAAAATGAAAATGTCTACATCCTTAGGATATGTGGTGCTCCAAATTAAAGAAATGCCTTGCAAAGAATAAGTTGCATACCATATTTATCAACTGTGAGACTTATAAAATTATCCTTGGTCCAATATCCGACAGTCGTAGCAATCATTATGGTTATTAATATCTTCTCTGTGCTGGAAATTATTCTAGGCACTGTGCATTTACTTAATTCTCACAACTTTGAAAGGTAGATATCATTAGGCTTGTTTGTACATGAAGAAATTAAAGCTTGAAGAGAGCAAATAACACGCCCAAACTCACTCAGCTAGAAAACAATGAAGGCAGCATGTGAACCCAAGTGTATCAACTTAAACTCAAGCTGTTATCACAACATATACTGCCTCTTTCTGCTTTTCTGTTGGAGGGATAACCAAGGTTTAAACAAACCTTGGGATCTCTGGGCAGCCCTTGCCTGCATCATTCACCCAGATGCTTATATAAACAGCTTAGCAAACACTAGTGAAGCAGACGAAGTGAGTTTCCACATGACTTTGGTGACAGAGAAAGAAGACTTTGAACAGGTGAAGTTACTGACACTCTCAAGTATCCAGGCAAAATCTGCCATCAGAGCAATGAAATGGGGATATCTTATTATTCATTCACTTGACAAATATTTACTGAGCACTTATTACATGCCAGATACTAGGTTTATAGCCATAAATAAGACATACATATAGTCCTTCCTTCATGGAGTTTAGGGTCTAGTGAAAATAGAAAACAAAAACATGAGCAAACAAATTTTAACTACAGATTGTGAAAAATGCTATAAAACAGCAGGGTGCTGTCAGACAGTATGGAAGAGACTTGCTTTAAATTAAGTGGTCAAGGATGGCCTCTCTGAGGAAGTTACATTTAAGATTAAAAGGAGCCAACCATGAGAAAAGAGAGGTGATGGACATTCTAGGCAGGGGAAACAGCCGGTGCAAAGATCTATGCTGGGAAAGACCTTGGCTTATTCAAGGAAGTGAATGATCAGTGTGATTACAGCTTAGACTATAAGGCAGAGAGTGGCAAGAGAGTGATGTCAGAGAGCTAAAAAGAATCTTTCCAGTACAATAAGAAGCCACCAGAATGATTTAAGCACAGATGTGGCATGAAATAATTTATGTTTTAATAAAATTATTTTAATATCATGTAAAGAATTCACTCAACTAAGCAATAGCATCGAATATTGTTCTTAGAGTAATATTGGATGACTATTAAGTATTTAGTAATAAATACTTAGAAAACAACTTGGTAGAAAACACCAAGTTGGATAAACCATGGTCTATAAACCAACATCTTAAATCTCACTGTGGTGGCACATAGTGTAGCAGAATGGAATGTGGTGAGTGAACTGGGATATGAAGAGGATATCCCAGATAATGGCATCTCATATTCATGTTTACAAAAGAGCATGACACATTGGCAATCATCCGTTCATTCTCACTCCCTCACTGAGAAAGGCATGCTTAAATGCAGCTGGGATTTCCTAGGCACTCAGTGAGTGTATGGTCAATAAACCTGTCAGCCACAAGGCCTACATCATGATTTTCAGGAGGAAAATTTTTATTTGCTAGGAAATGTGTTAGGGGGGATATTCAGTTAATACAAGGCATTTCAGTTATGGAGAGGCATGATTTTAAAGGCATTCTGTAGGGCTTTCTGGATATCATAAGTTAACTTTCAACAGACAAATCTAATAATTAATAGAGTAGTTTCTTTCCCAAAAATAACTCCCTGGAAGGTATAAAATGATATTCATTTGAACTTATTAGTGGAATAATTGAGTTGAATTTAAGAATTATCAAATTTATGTAAAATAAGTGTCCTTTTATTATAGGCAATGACAGACAATAAGGAGAAATATCTAAATATCTTTCCAATGAGCTCAAATAGAACTGCTTGTGCAGGAATCAGCCATACAGAGGAACATGTGCAAAACTGTCATATTGTCTGTCAACAACACGATGCTTCAAGGTAGTCGTTAAGATTGTAGCTGGTACAACTATAATGGAACAATGATGTGATGTTTGCTTATTTTTTTCATAGTAGCAAGCAAAATTTCTGACACTACCCATTTTTAGTCACACTAATCTTTACAACTCTCTGGGGAGGTAAAAATAAAACATTTAGGCTCTGTTTTACAGAAAAAAAACTTTTCAGACTCAGAGACAAGATAAAGATGTATTTAATTACTAAATAAATAGATAGTCTTAAAGAACAAAAATAAAAGACATTGACACATGGCTCTGTGGTTTACTTACTTCAACAAGAAAGAGGAATACTTATTTATTAATACAGAAATTTGCTAAGCAGCTTTGTATTCAACAACTGAATTCTTCAGGTTACAACCATGTTCTATACGGTAAAATAATGAACAGTGCCATAATACAAATAAACAAATAAGAGAGTGGGAATTTATTTCTGCATAAAAGATAATAATGAGTGTGAATACCTATGCACATAAAAGTCCAGAAACTAGAGGCATAATTAGATCATTTTTCTAAGTTTTAGCATGTACATAGTAGTGATATCTGGACTTCATTTCATTCTTCAACTCTTACTATGACTCAAGTTTTATATGAGAATTGTAGGGGGCTGACCATATTCTACCCTTGTTTGTCAACTTGAAGCAATGATATTTAGATATTTTCATGAACACCTCCCAGTTTAATTAATAGACTGCTTCTGATTCTTTGTCTTTTTGATAACTAAAAGGTAATCATGTATTAGCCTTTAGTTAGAGTTAGCGGGTCACTCACTCTGTATTGTGTATGTCTGTAATGTGTGGATGGCCACGTTGTCTGCTCTCCAGCTCTCCAGAATACTCAAGTATTATTTCTATAAGTTGATAGACCATCTGGAAAATAGTGACAAAGACCCCAATCAATTATAAATTTTTTTCAGAATAAGCAAAGACACATATTTATACTTAATATTTTTATTATTAACCATATTTCATTTCATTCCATTAGCTCCATTAAAGTTGATATTGTATGGTAGCTCTCTGACCATCTATAGGATCTTCATTTACAGCTAATCCTACTGATTTCAGTCACAGAATATCATCATCATTACCTAAGAAATTTGTCATGGTTCCTTCTTCATATGGACTTGCCCATTCCACAATAAACTGATATACTTCAGCCCAATGAGTGATAGTAGTTAATGATTAGCTGAGAGGGGCGAGTGCCTTGAACTCAGGAGTTTTGAGACCAGCCTGGCCAACGTGGTAAAACCCCATATCTACTAAAAATACAAAAATTAGCCAGGCATGGTGGCACGCACCTATAGTCCCAGCTATGCAGGAAGCTGAGGCAGGAGAATCACTTAAACCTGGAGATGGAGGTTGCAGTAAGCTGAGATGGCACTACTGCACTCCAGCCTGGGCAACAGAGTAATTAGAAAAAAAAAAATCGGCATTTTCTACCTTTTTAATTTTTACTATTCTGGTGGGTGTATGGTTTTGTTTTGTTTTAACTTTTTATTTTGACAATAATTTCAGACTTAGAGGAAGCTGCAGGAATAGTACAAAAAATTCCTGTCTCAAAAAAAAAGTACAAAATAGATCTAGATGTGAGAGAATTACTTTCAAAAGCAACAAAAGTTTAATTCAATATAAATAAGTAAAGGCTTATTTATACACTTGAAAATGTATTGGAAAGCAAGACTGAAACTACTATAATGTAGAAATCACAGGAGTGATGTACAGCTTCCCAGAGGCAATATCCCACAGAGCAGTATAAATCAAGAGAGTCGATTCTCACTCTACCTGCTCCTGAAACTGAGACTGAACTGAGTTCCCCAAATTGTATTCCTTTACTGATGAAATCAAAAGTTGTCTTTAAACTTTCCTGGGTTATTTTTCCTTATACCTTCCACTATGATCTTTTGCTTTATTTAAATAATAGTTAATAAGTTTTTATCTTCAATGAACAGAATAAGTTCTTATCTTTAATGAGCAGAAATCTAACCTGCTCCATGCCATTTTACCTAATTTACCAAGTTATATAAGTTGATTTTGACTCTTTACTTTTGCTCTTTCATTAAGGATGTGGCTGCAATTATGTCTGCAATCCCAATGCCCATTATATATATGATTTCATGAAAAAAATTTGTCTCTGCCTGAGCTGCTTCATGGCACTTTTTACCTCCTCATTCCTCAAGGTGTAAATGAAGGGATTCAGCAAAGGGGTGACCACTGTGTAGAAGACAGACACCACCTTGTCAATGGAGAAGCTGGTGTCTGGCCGAGTATAGATGAAGATACATGGCCCAAAGAAGAGGGCAACCACCATGAAGTGGGCCGAGCAAGTAGATAGGGCTTTCCAGCGCCCTTCAGCTGAGTGTTGTCGAAGAGAAACCAGGATGACCGTATAGGAGGTGACCACAGCCAAGAAACAGGCGAGGGAGATGGTTCCACTATTGGACACAATCAGTATTCCTGTGAGGTATGTATCTGTGCAGGCCAGCTTGATAACAAGAGGCACATCACAGAAGTAGCTGTCAATAATGTTGGGGCCACAGTAAGGTAGACGAATAGTCAAGAAGGTCTGCCCTAGTGAGTGAACGGTACCCCCCAACCAGAGAGCAAAGACAAGCTGTACACAGACTCTCATGTTCATCACACTGGGGTAGTGGAGTGGAGCGCAGATAGCCACATAACGATCATACGCCATAATGATCAGCAGAAAGATCTCAGCACAGGCAAAGAGATGTAGGAAGAAGAGCTGTGTGATGCAGTTGTCAAAGGAAATGGTCTTTCTCTCTAAAAGCAAACCCTCCAACATCTTAGGCACAGTGACAGATGAATGGCAGATGTCGATAAAGGACAGATTGCTCAGGAAGAAATACATGGGGGTATGGAGACTTGGAGTAAAGACTGTGGCAATGATGATGAGAATGTTCCCCAAAAGCGTTAGCACATAGATGGCTGAGAATGCCATGAAAAACAGCATCTCCAGCACCCAGTTATCAGTGAGTCCCAAGAAGACAAATTCAGTCACTCTTGTTTGGTTTAGAGTGTCCATTCAGTGAGCTTAGGGGGAGAAAAATGAAAGCTAATTTAGTTTTATTATTATAGAAATAGAACTAACTGACATGACTTTGTATTCTTATCTGAATTGCTAATTTATCATCAGAGCATATAGCTTATAAAATCAATTTAATCGTTGTTACAATATACCCACTACTAACCAGGAGCCATGCCAGGCACTTCTATTTAAACACAACCACCTCATGGCACAGGAATCAATTGTTTCCGCCTTGCAGATGAGATCAGTGAGCCTTTACAAGAATAAATAAATGCCCAAAACCCTTACCCATTAGTTATTGGGCTCTTTTCACTTCAAACTAAAGCACTGATAACATTAAGCTAATATTCCAAAACAACTCCCAACTAAATAATTTGACTCTTCCTATCAAATTAAATATACATTCAAAGCCTGCAACAGTCTGCTGCACATTTTCATTTTTTCAATGTGAGTGTCCTTTTATTTTCCCTATTAATTCTTCTCTCCAGCCAAGCAAGTCACTGTCCTCCAGGCATCCTACCTCCACCTACTTACTTTCCAAAATCTTTGTCTTTACTTTTTCTTTTCCCTCTGCTCAGAAAACATACACTCTATTCAAGTATACTCTCCTCACCTCATTATTGACTATTAATATACAAACAACTCCATTAAAAAATGGACAAAAGACATGAACAGACACTTCTCAAAAGAAGACATTCATGTGGCCAAACGTGAAAAATAAAGCTCACCATCACTGATCATTAGAGAAATGCAAATCGAAACCACAATGAGATACCATTGGCTATTATGAAAAAGTCAAAAAACAACAGAAGAATAGATGTTGGTGAGGTTGTGGAGGAAAAGGGACACTTTTACACTGTTGATGGGACTATAAATTAGTTCAACCATTGTGGAAGACAGTGTGGCAATTCCTCAAAGATCTAGAACCAGAAATACCATTTGACCCAGCAATCCAATTACTGGGTATATACCTAAAGGAAAATAAATCATTCAATTATAAAGATACATGTACACGTATGTTCATTGCAGCACTGTTTACAATAACAAAGTCATGGAATCAGCCTAAATGCCCATCAATGATAGAATGAATAAAGAACATGTAGTACATAACACCATGGAATATTATGCAGCCATAAAAAGGAACAAGATCATGTCCTGTGCAGGGACATGGATAGACTTGGAAGCCATTATCCTCAGCAGACTAATGCAGGAACAGAAAACCAAACACCACATGTTCCCATTTATAAGAGGGAGCTGAATAATGAGAACACATGGACCAACTCTACACTTGTGGAGGCCTGGGCTTAATACCTAATGATCTGTGCTGTAAACCACCATGCCACACGTTTACCTATGAACAAAACTGCACATCCTGTACACGTATCCACGAACTTAAAAGCTGAAAAAAAAAATACTATTCATCCTTCACTTCGTCTTTGACTATTTCAAAGAACACTACCTTTAAGAAAACTTTCCTGACCCAATCAAAGCCTATCTATCCCCTTTCAGGCTTCTTTTATGGTCCTTGACCTGTAAAGTAAAATATGATGTTCATTTTTGCCCTCCACTAAATCAAAAAAAAATTTTTTTTTTGAGATGGAGTGTCACTCTGTCACACAGGCTGGAGTGCAGTGGCATGATCTCGGCTCACTGCAAGCTCCGCCTTCCGGGTTCACACCATTCTCCTGCCTCATCCTCCCAAGTAGCTGGGACTACAGGCACCAGCCACCACACCTGGTTAATTTTTTGGTATTTTTAGTGGAAAAGGGGTTTCACCGTGTTAGCCAGGATGGTCTCAATCTCCTGACCTTGTGATCCGCCTGCCTCAGCATCTGAAAGTGCCGGGATTACAGGTGTGAGGCACCCTACCCGGTCTAAAATTTTTTTAAGAGTAGTAACCACACAAAGGACTTATCCTTTGCAGTACTTAGTAGGTGCCTTGTACACAAAGGGTATGCAAAAAAATTTTTTTACTTGAACTGAACCTAACTTATTAGGCAGCCTGAAAAAGAACTCAAGCCTTCCTTCACAATGGAGCTAAGAAAATACTTAAGAAACTTACTTCTTTAAATTCTGTAATATGATATTATTGTATAAATACTAAAGTTATATTACCCTAACTTTTTATACTGATGGCTGGCCAAAAACTATAACAGTTGGGAAATAATTATCACAAACCACAAAAATAATTTATATTCTTCATCCGATTATTTCACTTGTAAGCATTCAAACTATGAAAAAAGCTAACTGCAAGGAAATATTAACTATAGTGTTATTTAAAATAACATGAGGCTTACATTAGGGGTTTACATTAGGAACAGTAGTTCATAGAGCTTACATTAGGAACAATGTCATGGGGCTTACATTAGGAACAATAGTGACAAAGGCCGACCAACATGAAAAAAATATTAAAACATAAAGAGCGAAAATGAGATAAAGCATGTTAAACTTTCTCAATAATTTAAAATATAAAATGCCAGCCAGGTGTGGTGGCTCATGCTTGTAATCCTAGCACTTTGGGAGGCCAAGGCAGGTGGATCATGAGATCAAGAGTTCAAGACCAGCCTGACAATATGGTGAAACCCCATCTCTACTAAAAATACAAAAATTAGCCAGGTGTGGTAGCACAGGCCTGTAATCCCAGCTACTCAGGAGGCTGAGGCAAAAGAATCGCTTGAACTGAACCAGGGAGGCAGAGGTTGCAGTGAGCCAAGATCGCGCCACTACACTCCAGCCTGGGCGACAGAGTAAGACTCCATCTGAAAATAATAATAATAATAATAAAATATATAGTGTCATATAAATTATCAAAAAAACAAATCGTAGACTTGAAGAAAATATTGTAACATAGATAATCAAAAAAGAATACTCTTGTTATTCAAAGATCTCTTCCAACTTGGTAAGACAAATGACTCAATTAAAAATGAGCAAAAAATATACTTAAGTCACAGAAAAAGAATGACAAATGAGTATGAATAAAAATATGAGTGAAAATGACAAATGAGTATGAATAAAAATATGCTCAATTAGTAATAGATTAAAAAGAAAATCAAATACTTTTCTCATTCATCAGATTAACAAAGATATAAGGAACGGAGTACTCTTAACACTGCTACTAGAAGTAGGTATTATTGAGATCTTTTTGGAAAATAATCTAGCAGTGTCAATTAAAATTTTAAACGCTCATACCTCTGAACCCAAGAACTTTACTTATAGGACTGTATTTCATAGAAATAAAGAAACCAGTAACTAAAGAACTAAAGATACATGTTTAAAGACTTTTTAGTAGAGTAGCATACTGGAAACAAACTGAGTATTTCTCAATAGAGGACTAGATAATCAAATTTTAGTACAGCCACAATATGGGATACTATGAGCTATTAATAATAATAATAATGAGTTGGATCTATATGTATAACCTAAAGCAGTGGTTCTCAATGTGGCTGCACATTAGAACCACTTAAGGAAGTTTTATAAATTTTGATACCCAAGCCTCGTGCCAAACAATCAATTTGGAATTTCTGAGAATTGGACCCATCAGCACTATTAATACTTCCTGGAGATTCCAATGTGCAGCCAAGATTACAAACTACTAATTCATGGAATGTCAATAACATATTGTTAAGTGAAAGAACCTATTATGAGTATATTATGAACCTCGAAGGAAAGGAAGGGAGTGAGGAAGGGAGAGACAAAGGAATGAATGAACAAAGGAAGAAAAAGATTTGTGTGTGTATGCATACATATTTATGCATATATGTATGTGCATATGCTTCAACATATTAATATTTATACATATTCAAACATATATACATATTCATGAATTATGTTTGTATATATTTATTCCTAGAAGGACACAAGATAGATGTTGAAGAACACACATCAATTTTAACATTAGTTACCTCTAGAAGTATGGAAATGAAGGAAATTATAGGATTTTATTAATTTTTTACATTATAATTCATAATTGTTTAAGTTTGTATAATAAGCATGGGTTACTTTGTTTTAAAACAAAGTATTAAAAGCATGCATAGGGAAAAGCAAGTGAGAAGGATACCCGTAGCTTGTTCTTATCCTACTGCTGTTATCTTTAATTTGTTCCAATTGTATTATAAACATATAATTTTATATTCTATTTTTCACTCAATATTATAAGTGTATAACCAAATGACATTTCATCACATATATGTATTCGAATGTGTGTACCCAGTCCATCCTTTGTGGCCATTTATGATGTTTCTAATTTCTGACTATTAAAAATAATGGCACAATCTGTTCTCAACATTACAGTGAGAAATCCTATTAAAGCATAGGTCAAGCCGGGGGCAGTGACACCTGCCTGTAGTCCCAAATAGCCAGGTGTGGTAGCGCAGGCCTGTAATCCCAAAGCGATAAGTCTGAGGTGGAGGACTTATCGCTTAAGTCCAGAAGTTCAAGATCTGCCTAGGCAGCACAGCAAGATGCCATCTTAAAAAAAAAAAAAAAAAAAAAGATCAGATTAAATCATTTCACTCATTCAAAGACTTTCAATGGCTCCCTGTTCACACGTGATAAGTGAAGTCTTTCCATTGGCCTGCAAAGCCCTCAATGACACAACTTCCCATTTCCTCTCTGACCTTGTCTCCTACCACTCTTCCTTTCAGCTCCAATCATGTTGTCCTCCTTGGTATTCCTCAAATACTCAAAACACAGTCCCACTCTGAGGCCATTGCACTGGCTGCTTCCTCTGTTTGGAATCTCTTCCCCCAGATATTCCATAATTCTGGGGTCCCTGACACCTGGGCCACAGATGGGTACCAGGCTGCACAGCAGGAGGTGAGCGCTTCAGCATCACTGCCTGAGTTCTGCCTCCTGTCAGATCAGCCTTGGCATTAGATTCTCATGCACACGCAAACCCTATTGTGAACTGCGCATGCGAGGGATCTAGGTTGTGCACTCCTTGTGAGAATCTAATGCCTAATGGTGTAGGTGAAACAGTTTTATCCTGAAACCAATACCCCCCACCCCCAGTCCATGGAAAAATTTGTCTTCCGTGA